TACATGGAAATTGAGAAAATTGGGGTGGAAAACGAAGTAGAAGAAGAAGGGGAATATGGCGTCGGTGTCGTGAAATTGGAAATGAAAAGGAGGAGAATGAGAGATAGGTTTATAAGAGTAGTCGTTTTGACACGGACGGAAATCGGTGAGAAAAGAATCTTTTTTGGGTTTTAGGATTTTTGGAAAAAAAAAGAAATTCAGAAATTCGGAAGTTCAGACGTTCAGAATTTCGAAATTTAAAAAAAAACGAAATTTCGAATTATAGAATTTTTAAATTTCGATATTTTTTGGAATTTTAGGATTTTTGGAAATTTGCAATTTTGGGATTTTTTGAAATTTTCGTATTTTCCAGAAATTTGAAATTTCCAGAATTTTTTGATTTTATGAGGTTTTTTTGAAATATGAGATTTTTGTGAATTCGGGATTTTATCGAAATTTCAGAAATTCAGAAATTCAGAAATTCAGAAATTCAGAAATTCAGAAATTCAGAAATTCAGAAATTCAGAAATTCAGAAATTCAGAAATTCAGAAATTCAGAAATTCAGAAATTCAGAAATTCAGAAATTCAGAAATTCAGAAATCCAGAAATTCAGAAATTAAGAAATTCAGAAATTCAGAAAATTCAGAAATTCAGAAATTCAGAAATTCAGAAATTCAGGAATTCTGAAATTCAGAAATTCAGAAATTCAGAAATTCAGAAATTCAGAAATTCAGAAATTCAGAAATTCAGAAATTCAGAAATTCAGAAATTCAGAAATCCAGAAATTCAGAAATTAAGAAATTCAGAAATTCATAAAATTCAGAAATTCAGAAATTCAGAAATTCAGAAATTCAGGAATTCTGAAATTCAGAAATTCGGAAATTCAGAAATTCAGAAATTCAGAAATTCAGAAATTCAGGAATTCAGAAATTCAGAAATTCGGAAATTCAGAAATTCAGAAATTCAAAAATTCAGAAATTTAGAAATTCATAAAATTCAGAAATTCAGAAATTCAGAAATTCAGAAATTCAGGAATTCAGAAATTCAGAAATTCGGAAATTCAGAAATTCAGAAATTCAAAAATTCGGAAATTCAGAAATTCAGAAATTCAGAAAAATTTAAAATTAAAAATTTTCAGACTTGGCATCAACGTCTTCCAAGTGCCACAACTGCCGCCGCCAAAACGGGACCCACGTCTTCCAGTTATTGGAATTGCTCAGCGTTAATTAAATTTTTTTGAGTGTAAAAATTCAAAAAAAAATCCATTTTTGCCATCTATCTAAAATTCATGATTTTTTTAATTCCAAAAAAAATATTTTTTTCTCACTTGGTATTCACTTTTCCCCGAAAAACCTGACCGCCCAATGTGATCTTTTTTGCCCCTCTCTCCCAGAAAATGCATCTCTTTTTCTTTTTCGTACAGTATAATTTTTTCCTAGAGATACAGTAATCCTAGTAGATACAGTAACCCTCTATTTCTTGTACCTCTGTTTGTCCAGATGTCCCGCCCTCTTTTGATCATCCCACACCACATATTTTTTTTCCAGTCACAATCACATTTTTATGAAAAAACACAACTTTTTGACATTCTTTTTTTTTATTTTAGAATTTAGGAATTTCGGAATTTTCGATTTTTTTTTGATTTTAAAAATTTTTGAAAAAATTGAAAAAGTCAGAAAAACAATATTATGAGCTTTCTGATATCATCTGAATTGTTTTTGAAGGATTATGATTTCATTTCATTTTGGTTCAGAAAACCAAAGAAGTATTAATAATTTTGGAGGGAAAAAATGACATCACCTCAAAATTTGGAAAAAAAATTGGGAACAAATTTCAACATATTTTTCGCAAGGGTATTTTTCGAAGTGTTTTTTGAGGATTTTCGAAATTTTGAATTCCTGAAAACGCAATTTTTTCAGAATTTCGGGACTCTATTGTACTTTGAAGATTATTAGAAAAAAAAACCAAAAAGGTTCCGAAAATTCCTAATCTACAGTAGTAATTTTACAGAATCTTTCTTATTTTTGATCCAAATCGGTTGACAAATTTACAGTTAGAATCAGTGAATCAAGAGCTTTCAAACGAGTATAAACAAGCCAGCATTTAATTTTTTTTCGAAACTTCGAAAATTTTCAAATGCGCCTTTGAAGAAGATATACATTTTTGAAGGATGTTTTGAAGTAATTGGTGTTTATCATGCATTTGGGTGATAAAAGCCTTCTGTGAACCGAGATACAGCGATTCGAAGTTTTAGGGAGACGTAGACAATGAGAGCACTCTAACTGTCTGCGTCTCCCACCTCTAAACTTCAAAGCGCTGTATCTCGATTTCTAGATTAGCTAGAAAGATGATTCTTATGAAGAATCTACAAATATTCAATTTCCTACAAAATAAAAAAAATCAGATTTCTAGCTTTCTTGGGAGCCGAGATACAGCGATTTGAAGAGACGCAGACAACGAGACACACTGCATCTTTCAATGTAAAATTTTTAAGCGTTGCATCTTGGCTTCCAGGTGAGCTAGAAAGTTGGTTTTTGAACTGTTTTGTAGATTTTTAGACACTTTTCAAGCTATGCAGTAAATTTATTAGAATTTTCAGTTAAACTCATATGTGCCTTTAAAGAAGGGAGACCCCTCTTCTTATCCCCATAGCAACAGCTTTTTTCTTTCTCTCTCTCTCTCTCTTTTACTCAGAAAAGGAAAATAGAGCTCTTCTTCCCTACCCTCTTATTATCCTGGCTGATGAAAATCGATGCACCACAGCGCCTGCCTTCTGACACAGGGCTCATTTTGGCTCGTTTTCGAGCTCTCCTTGAAGCTCGTGTTGGGTTCCGCGAGCACCTAGATGTGCATATGAGTGTGTTGCTCTCAATTTCTCCATTTTCTTCTTATTCGTATTCTTTTTAATCCTTTTCTTCCTCGTCGCCATGCTTCTGATCTTTCTCTGCGTCTCTTTGGGCTCTGGAAACCATCGTTTTGAATCTTGACTAGAAATTTTCGCTCGCACTTTTCGAGGGATTGAAATCTCCGAATTTTTAAATCCTTTGGAACTCTAGAATCTCAAAACTTCAGAATCTCAAATGTGTACTCGTAAACGTCAAGCCGAAGAGGAGACCGAGGATCTTGAGGTTGAGAATCAATCGGGAAGTCCATGCAGCAGCAGCTTGACAGCTAGTCAAATTTTGCTTAATGAAAAACGTAAGAAGACCAAAACAACAAATTCTTCATGAAATTTGCGTCATTTTTATCGAAGTTTGGTGTTTCTAGCTCGTCTGAGATCTGAGATACAACGCTTTGGAGTTTTGGTGAAAAAAGCAGAGTTTCTAACTGTCTGCGTCTCTTCAAAGCAATGTATCGCGGCTTCTAGATGGGCTAGAAATTCGTTTTATCCTCAGTAATTTGAAAACTTTGATTTCCTACAGAATGACACAAAAAGCTGGTTTTTAGGCCTTCTATAAGCTTAGATACGGCGTTTAGAAGAGACGCAGACAACGAGACACGCTACGTCTCTCACCTCCAGTCTTTAAAGCGCTGTATCTCGACTTTTAGATTAGCTAGAGGCTTGTTTTGCGTTCAGAAATGCAGGAAAGTCAATTTTTTACAAAATAAACTCAAAATCAACTTTCTGGGCCTTTTGGGAGCCGAGATACAGCAGTTTGAGGAGACGCAGACAACGAGACACTCTGCGTCTCTATCCTCAAACTTCGAAGCGCTGTATCTCGGCTCCTAGATGAGCTAGAAAGCTGGTTTCTAGCTCATTTGAAAGCCAAGATACAGCACTTTGAAGTTACTAAAAAGACGCAAACGTTTAGAGTGTCTGACTGTCTGCGCTCTCTCCTTTCCCAATAGTTACTAATAGCCGAAACTTCAAAAGACTGTATCTCGGCTTCTAGACGAGCTAGATAATTGGTTTTTGAACGGTTATGTATATTTTCAAATTCTTTTCAATTTTCAGTAGACCAAATTATGGCACAAGTCAACTTTCATCATCAGGAGGCACATGCAATGGTCCGTGAGGTGCAGCAGGAGCTGGAGGAGCTGTCTATTAAAAGAGAGAACTTCTACAAGAGATTGGAAAGGATTTGTGAGAATCTGGAGAAGCAATTGTTGGAGGAGGCAGAATGGGAAGGAGGTGCTGGAGAGGATGAGGAGGAAGAGGAGGAGGAGGAAGAAGACATGGAGGAAGAAGCAATGCCCCCAATCGAACGTCAACGTGGATAAATTTCAAATTTCTCCTTCTTTTTTAATCCTATAACCCCAAAATCCCAGAATCCCAGAATCCCAAAATTCTAGAATTCCGAAATTTCAGAATTTCAGATCCTCAGAAATGTTGAATCTCAGAATCTCAAAATCTCAGAATCTCAGAATCTCAGAATCTCAGAACCTCAGAATCTAGGAATTTGAGAATCTCAGAATCTCAGAATCTCAGAATCTCAGAATCTAGGAATTTCGGAATATCAGAATCTCAGAATCTCAGAATCTCAGAATTTCAGAATCTCAGAATCTCAGAATCTCAGAATCTCAGAATCTCAGAATCTCAGAATCTCAGAATCTCAGAATCTCAGGATCTCAGGATCTCAGAATCTCAGAATGCTTCAGAATCTCAGAATCTCAGAATCTCTGAATCTCTGAATCTCAGAATCTAGGAATTTCAGAATCTCAGAATCTCAGAATCTCAGAATCTCAGAATCTCAGAATCTCAGAATCTCAGAATCTCAGAATCTCAGAATCTCAGAATCTCAGAATCTCAGAATCTCAGAATCTCAGAATCTCAGAATCTCAGAATGCTTCAGAATCTCAGAATCTCAGAATCTCTGAATCTCTGAATCTCTGAATCTCAGAATCTCAGAATCTCAGAATCTCAGAATCTCAGAATCTCAGAATGCTTCAGAATGCTTCAGAATCTCAGAATCTCAGAATCTCAGGATCTCAGGATCTCAGAATCTCAGAATGCTTCAGAATCTCAGAATCTCTGAATCTCAGAATCTAGGAATTTCAGAATCTCAGAATCTCAGAATTTCAGAATCTCAGAATCTCAGAATCTCAGAATCTCAGAATCTCAGAATCTCAGAATCTCAGGATCTCAGAATCTCAGAATGCTTCAGAATCTCAGAATCTCAGAATCTCAGAATCTCAGAATCTCAGAATCTCAGAATCTCAGAATTTCAGAATCTCAGAATCTCAGAATCTCAGAATCTCAGAATCTCAGAATCTCAGAATGCTTCAGAATCTCAGAATCTCAGAATCTCTGAATCTCTGAATCTCTGAATCTCAGAATCTCAGAATCTCAGAATCTCAGAATCTCAGAATCTCAGAATCTCAGAATCTCAGAATCTCAGAATGCTTCAGAATCTCAGAATCTCAGAATCTCTGAATCTCTGAATCTCTGAATCTCAGAATCTCAGAATCTCAGAATCTCAGAATCTCAGAATCTCAGAATCTCAGAATTTCAGAATCTCAGAATCTCAGAATCTCAGAATCTCAGAATCTCAGAATCTCAGAATCTCAGAATCTCAGAATCTCAGAATCTCAGAATCTGAGAATCTCAGAATCTCAGAATTTCAGAATCTCAGAATCTCAGAATGCTTCAGAATCTCAAAATTTCAAAAATCCCAAAAATTTCAAAAATTTTCTTATCGCCCATAAAACTTGTCCATTTTCCGTATTAATCCTTTTTTTTCCATTTCCGACTTTCCAATTTTTTTAAAACCATTATATGCTTTTCAACCTCACTTTCAGAACATCCCCAATCTCATAATACCCATTTTTCGACCCCAAAAATCAACTTCAAATTTCAAAAATCCCCAAAAAATGAGATATGATCCCTTTTTGTATATTTTTATATTTGTATTTTTGGGTATAAATTTATTAATAATGTTTTTGCAATTGCTTAACTACAAGACACAAATAAACAGTCAATGAACTAATAACGATAATAACCAATAAAGATTGTACACAGATAAGATTACAGAATGAACATTAAAGATTGCCAGGGAATAGGTCGGAAGATCAAAAATCACGAAAATTAGTGTTCTAGCTTCTCTAAGGGACGAGGAGATACAGCGCTGTGAAGAGACCCACGCAACGAGACACACTGCGTCTCTCACCTCCAAAATTCGAATCTCTGTATCTCGCTTTCTAGACTAGCTAGAAGTAGACTTTTTGATTAGAAAATTATAAAATTCAATTTCGTACAAAATGCCATAGAAACCAGGTTTCTAGGCCTTTCGTGAGCTGAGCTACAGCGATTAGTGAGACGCAGACAACGAAACTCTCTGCGTCTCTCGCCCCAATCTATGAATCGTTGTATCTCGGCTTCTAGAATACCTAGAAACTTGATTTCTGTTTAGAAAATTTTAAAATTTATTTTACTACAAAATGAAACAAAAACCGATTCTCTAGCTCTTTTGTGAGCCGAGATACAGCAATTGGGGAGACGCAGACAACGAGACCCTCTGCGTCTCTCATCTCCAGACTTCAAATCGCTGTATCTCGACTTCTAGAGCAACTAGCTGTTGATTTATGAACTTTGTGTAGATTTTTTGACGCTTGTTTCAGCCACTAACATTGAACAAAAAAATTGGGGTCGCCTGGACTCTTTTCACTGCACATGAAACGCACGGTGCTCCTTATCAGTAGTTTCGCTATAGACTATATAATGATGTTGGTTGGTAAACATTGTACTAGCAAGATCGGTGTCAGTCAGTGGAACAACTCAAGGGAACAAACAGAAATTAGTGATAAGCAAACGGGAATCCGCTAGTCTTGGTAGTTGAGCCTTGTTAGTTGGCACATCTTCTAAAGAATTGAATTTTGATTTTTTGAGAAAAATTACAATCTCTATTCAATTCCCTGCATTTCGGTAAAAAATTGAAGTTTCTAGCTCATCTAGAAGCCGAGATACAGCGATTTAAAAATTTCGAGAGACGCAGTCAGTTAGAGTGTCTTGTCGACTGCGCTCTCCTCCTTTTCCATACTCTCTAGCTCGTCAACTTCAAAGCGCCGTATCTCGGCAATCGAAATAGCTAGAAATTTGGCGTTATTGCAGTTTTGGCTAACAAAATTAGAGCTTCATTTTTGTAATTGACAACTTTTTTGTTAAAAACTTTCTAAGTGAGATATGTGCCTTTAAAAATTTAAAGGACACAATGGCAAATGAAATCTAGCCAAAAACTTGTCACTTACGAAAATGAAGCTCTATTCTTTTTCAGTGTAACCTGGACTTTTTAGACAAGTAGAAAAGTTTTGGGCCCCTTTTGTAGGTCCTCAAAGTTCAAAGGCGCAGTGCTCACTTTCTTCATTGCTCTGACGTTCTCTCTCTCTGCGTCTCTTGATCTCTAGGCTCTAGGGACCCCAGAAAAAACTTTTAAAGAGTAAGAGCAAAGCTTGAGAGAGTAGGTAGAAGTGAGAGACGCAGAGAAACAACAAAAAACGAAGGAAAAAAGAAGAGGAAATTGTTGACTTGTCGTTCGGTTTTTGGGGCAAAAAGAAGGGAAAAGAGGAAGGAGAAGGGTCCAAAAAAAATGACGCTGTGCTCTTTTTCTATTGATTTTGAGTGTTTGGAGAAGAAGAGGAGGGGAAGGATTTCATATTTCTATTTATCTTTTCAATTTTCCATTTTCCATTTACCCTTCATTTTGAGGGTTTGGATTAAATTTCAATTTCAATTTTCGTTTTGGATTTTCTGGATTTCCTGGATTTGGATGAAAATTTTCATTCTTCTCTGAAATTCTTTCATCCTTCATTCCCTTTTCGAAAACGTTGAAAATTTGGGAAAATTTGAATTTCGAAATTTTTGAAATTTCGAAAAATTCTAATATTTTCAAAAGAAATTCAGAAATTCAGAAATTCAGAAATTCAGAAATTCAGAAATTCAGAAATTCAGAAATTCAGAAATTCAGAAATTCAGAAATTCAGAAATTCAGAAATTCAGAAATTCAGAAATTCAGAAATTCAGAAATTCAGAACTTCAGAAATTCAGAAATTCGGAAATTCAGAAATTCAGAAATTCAGAAATTCAGAAATTCAGAAATTCAGAAATTCAGAAATTCAGAAATTCAGAAATTCAGAAATTCAGAACTTCAGAAATTCAGAAATTTAGAAATTCAGAAATTTAGAAATTCAGAAATTTAGAAATTCAGAAATTCAGAAATTCAGAAATTCAGAAATTCAGAAAATCAGAAATTCAGAAATTCAGAAATTCAGAAATTCAGAAATTCAGCAATTCAGAAATTCAGAAATTCAGAAATTCAGAAATTCAGAAATTCAGAAACTCAGAAATTCAGAAATTCAGCAATTCAGAAATTCAAAAATTCAGAAATTCAGAAATTCAGAAATTCAGAAACTCAAAATTCAGAACATCAGCAATTCATAAATTCAAAAATTCAGAAATTCAGAAATTCAGAGATTCAGAAATTCAGAAATTCAGAAATTCAGAAATTCAGAAATTCAGAAATTCAGAAATTCAGAGATTCAGAAATTCAGAACTTCAGAAATTCAGAAAATACAAAAATTTTGAAATTCTCAAAAAACCCGAAATTCTGAAAAATCCAAAAATGCTGAAAACCCAAAAATAAAATCCTCGAAAATTTCAATATTCTAGAATTCCAATAAAATAGAAAACTCTGGAAAATCCAAAATATCCTAAAATCCTAGAATGTAAAAGTTCTAGCATTTCCAAGAAATTAGAAAATCAAAAATCTTGGAATTTTGAAATTCGGAATTTCCAAAACTCCCAATCTCAGAATTATAGATTTTCTGAATTTCTGAAATTCAGAAATTCAGAAATTCAGACTTCTGGAAAAATCGAAAAAGTGCATTTCAAGTGCACATTTCAGTTAAAATAATCATGCCATTTTTTTCGAAGTTTTCAAATTTTTTTCCCGATAAAACCCTATAATTTGCCACCTCCCTTCCCCTCCCTTTCTCTGAAGACAATGCCAACAAATGAAAATTCAAACGCCAAGTCATCCTAGGCTCCGCCCCTTTTTATTGTGCAATCTTATCAGTGATAGCTGCTCTTATCACTAGCCGCGTCCC